TGTTTGAACGATAATTTTATTTTTGATACATTTCATGGTAGATTTTGTTTGAACTTAACAAAAAATAAATAACAATTGCACAAACAAACTTTCCCTCAGTTATCTCAAAGATGCGATTTTGTTCCATCCTTTTCATAAAAGAGGACGTACCTATGCTTCCTCGCTCACAAGCGAGTTTGGTGCAATTAGTGACACGTGTGAATCGTTGTATTTGTGCCACACGCCAGTATACGGGTATCTGCAGTATGCTGTATAATGCCCTCTGAAAGTAGTCCCACTGTGATTTAAAAGCACTTATAGATTATAACAACAAGTAGCCACATTTGTTGCTGCAAAATTGTCCATATCCAATTCCTCTGGGGGAAATTCGATGACATCATTCAATTCGCCTCTAAATCTTTCCGTTGGAGAGAATCTTTTCAAATGAATCACTAAAATATGGAAAAACTTGTGGATTGATAGGGAATTGATTATTATACGCTTATTGTGAGTGATACGTTTGATCATATTTTTAAAGTTTATTCAGTAATTCAAAATACAAATGAACAAATTGTTATACTTCAATATAGGAAATAGGCTTTCACAGCCAAAATTGATATTTTTTTAACGAAAACTCTGTTATTTAGCAATACCTTGAGAGCAAACGACATGAGTGGCTTTTTCTATTACTGGTTGCTTGATTGGTATTGCTCGAAGGTAGTTAAGTTTGCGATAAAAAAATTGGCATCTATCTGAAAACATTTTTAGGTCGACAGGTATTCGTAAAGATTATTTCATGAAATATTGTCATCTGAATGCATCGATATAAGAACAAAACATCAATTCTGAAATTAAATAAATTTTATTACCTGAATATCGAAAAATTTCAGCACGAACATTTGTTCGAAAGTACAATGTTCGAATATATGAAAAGAATACGTGAATAACTGAAGTCGTATTTCTCAACAAATAGCCGACCTTTTTGAAGCGACTAGATATATCATCAATACGTCGACTTCATAGAATAGAATAGTTTATTGGCTACGTGATACATTTGAACAAATATTTGTAGCAAGTCAAAACACAAAAATTTTTAAATATGACGTCATATATACAAATAAAAATAGAAATTAGAATAACGTTTTCATATCACAATAGAAATAAGTTTTGATTATGATTCTGAGATTTTGGAATATCATATACAGGGTGTTCCTTATAAACATGCTAATATTTAAGGAGGTAATTCTTAGACCCATTTTAAGAAAAAAACTTCCTATGGACGTATGTCCTAAACGCCTTAACTTTTGAGATACAGGGTGGCAAAGTTTTCAAAAATAATCAGTTTTTTAATAATAACTGAGATAATTTTGTAGACATCTTTGGCATATTTGGTACATATGTTCCATGCCTCAAGGCGCATTTTCTGATGTACA